TTTCTTAGTGCCTTGGTTATGTTTTTAATTATGGAATCAATCACAATTTAATTATCTGATTGTTTGTCTTTTTCTAAACGATAACAGAAACACTTTTAAAGCAAAAATGAGGTCATATTCCTCTGGGAGAGTTCCTTTCATATTAGCTCTTATACAAAGTATTTGTAACTTTAATTGACCAACAGATTTAACATTACTCTAATTGTAATGCAACTATGAAGACCATTAGGTGGAAGGGCAAGTGTTATCTAATGAAGGTTGTGAGAATTGTGTAACTATATAGGGGCAAAAAATAAGAATAACAACAAAGCAAAATGGAAAACTGCCCAGTAATATCAATTGCAAGTTAGTTGAGTAGTAACATATATGAAACTAAGAACATAAAAGTGACATTTCGGTCAGAGTAAGATAAGGATGGCCTCTGGAAAAAGTAACGAAGTGTGTCACAAAAGAGAAGGTAAGAAATTTAGTTTTATAAGCATTAGAAACAGGTTTATATAAAGGAACATTGGATAAAACGTAAAAAAAGACGTTAAGTCATGTTATTGTCATTATCAAACTATTTTAATAGCTCAGTATGCACCGTGATCATAACTGTAAAGAAGCGAGAGGAGCGTCCCGGTGTGCAGGAGGCGATCCCGGCGGCCGTGCGAGGTGGGCCACCTGCGGGCACCGCGTCCTTGTCCTCTGCGGGGAGCCGGGAAGCTCCTGCAGGGTCCTCACGAGTGGCGGGGGCCTTGGAGGAAACAAAGGAGGGCAGAAGGCGAAGGAAGCGTTGCTCACGGGGTTTGTCTTCTTCCACTGCCGAGATTTGCACACCGGGCAAGAAGGCGCTCTGCTGAGGTGTCAAACGGCTCTTCCCGCCGCCTCTGTCAGCTGGGAGCGCAGTGGCTGAGCGCCGCAGCCCCCGGCAGGTGCGCTCGCACGTCGGTCGTGGGCTGCCTGATGCTCCAGGCTGCTGACCAGCGACTTCCTTCAGGATAGCTCTGGCGGTGCTGCGCGCACATTTAAGGGGACAAGTAGGTTTCGCAGACTCTGCACATTCCCTAAGTTCAGAGAAGTGCTGACGTGCTGTAAGGAAAAAACAAATTGCATAAGCTTCCTGGCTCAGGCAGGCAAGGCTTTCCTTTTCTTTTTCTTTTCATATTTTTGGGTTTATTTGGGGCTGTATTTTTGGAAGTAAAGATGAGGGCACATTCTGGAGAGTTCTTACATCTCTATTTCCATATCTACTCTCCTGAGCCCGTAAGGAAATGATTCATCTGTTGAGTGGATGAGACTGATCTGTGTATGCCAAACGAGAGCGAAAGGTGGGACACCTTGGGAACAGTAGGGGAGAAGACTTCCAGAGGGTGGAGGTGAAGCCCACACTGACCGAGGAGCTGGGTTAGTGATGTAGGTAGCGCTGCCTTGACCAGAAACATCGCATTGTATCAGCAGAGAGGTTCTCCAACATATTGACAGGCGCTCTGTTATAAATGCTGTCAGCATTCTTTTCTGTTTGATTAGTTCAAAGTAAGATGCATCAGAGAATGGAGATAGTGAAAGGTGAGTGGTCTCCACTCGCTCTTGGGGCAGTGGCCTGAAGGTCTTGTGTAGGGAATGACGCCACCAGCTCTGCCCCTGTGGAGGTGCAGGGGCCCGAATCCTTAGGGCAGTGAGCTTCTGCTGGTGGATGGTAGCACCCTGCTGTCATGCAGTTCTGTTGCTCCTTCGCTTCCACGGGCAGCTGACCAGTAGTTCAGGCTGCGTTAAGTTCTGACCTTTGGTATTTAGCCACTTTTTATACTAAAGCATGAATCATCAGTAAACACACAACCTTAAGATATGTTTAGGAGGGGAGCGAGACACTTGGGCACAACCAAGTTTCCATCTCTTGAAAGTGAATGCTTGTCATCTGTATTTATTTAAAATTTGCCAAATTGAGTAGAAAAACTTAAGGAAAAAGGATCAGTGGGACATTTCACAGGGACACTGGGGCCAAGATGCAGGTTCTAATTTAGCTCTTCCCATCATTTGGTTTATGTTTAAAGATATTTGAAAACAGAGAAAGGAATGTGAAAGTGCATAGGCCAACCATGCTGAGGAGAAGATCCAGGGAAGGAAGCATTTTTGAAGTATTTTAAGCCTTAAAAATCTACTTGTTCACATATTGTATCAGAAAGTGTGTGTGTGTGTGTGTGTGTGTGTGTGTGTGTAGTATCTATAAAAACACGCATGGGGTTAACAGATAAGATATTAATTTAATAAATTATCTGACAATTTGTATTGAGATGTGTTTTAGGGGTGTGGAACCATAGTAATGATCAAAGCAAAGTCCTTGCTTCATTTGGGTAAACTCAATAACTAAATGAGACAGATGCAAAGATTATCTTATCTAATACCAGAATGAAGCTTTATTACTGAGGATGGAATGAGTCGTGGTGTTGTTTTACAAGAGTAAAATGCAGGGAAGGAGAGGATGCTCCAGTAGAGACATAGATGAGGTGACAGAGAGAGGCATAGTGATCTCTGGGGACAGAGAGTCCCCATGGGGGACCCACTAAGTGGAAGATTGCAGGTGGAAATCTGCTTTGCATGCCTCCTTTGTCTCCACCATGAAGCACTGGAGGCTCAGCTTCCTCCGCTTTAACATGAAGGTCGCGATATGTGGTCTCATTGGCTGGGGAGGGGCTGAGCCTACGATCTCCGAGGGCTGACAGACCCCGGCCATAAGTCACAGCACGTGCAAGGCAGCCAGTGACACGTACAGGTGCGCCAGTGAGGCACAGACTTTCGTGCTCACTCAGAGGATGGTAACAGATGTCAGTGCTGGCTGTGACACTTCACATTGTTCTTCAGTGAACAGAAGGCACCACGGCGTAGTTTTCCATGGACTCTTCTTCAAGGACCTAGTGAGTGTCAGCTGGTCTGCACCTTATCGCTGTGTCATGAGCCGGGGTTTTCTTTGTGATTCTGTCCCTGGGCTATGGATCTGACTACTAGGTTAATGTTTCAGAGTTTATACCGCAGGAATCTTGGTGCTTCTTATAGGCCACCCACACCTACTCTGTTCAGCTTGCTAGCTATGGGGTCACCTTGCCTACAGACTCTGCACTTCCTGTGTTGGCTTGGAGGAAATATACCTTTGCCTTTAGGAACGTATCTCCCTCCTCTCCCTTCTAGCTCTTGCCTTGAGTTGGCACCTTGAACGAAATTGTTATCTGAGGAGGTGACTAAAGGAATCATAGATTCCTGGACCCCACCTCCTGAGCTTTGGATTTCCCAGCTTTGTGATCACACTGTCAGGAGTCTGTGTTTCATAAGCTTTGTGCTAGGAGACACTACCAGGAGCACCTTTACAACAAATAGGACCGTCTAGAACCTTGCTGTCTTTGGCCTGGAAGTCTCAGCTTTTTCAAATGTCTGTGCACTGAGGACTCTGAACTGATGACACAGATAACCTGGGTCATTCTTCTCTGCAGGTGCCTGGGCTGTCTTGACCTTCTTCATCTTCCTTCCATGTTATTTTCCGCTAGGGCCCTGAATTAAAGAATTATAATAATGTATAAGGTGCATTGTTGTGAAAGTTATTTTTACTTAGTCTGTCTCCCTGAAGCTGGCTGCATAGGGAAAGCAGCAGGAGTTCCCTTTCCCTTTCCCTTTCCTTCTGTGGAGAGGCACGCTTCGTAAGAGTCACAGTGATGCTTGTGTACAACTTATGCTTTTTTCTGTTCTTTTGCAACTGGTTATCACTATGTCTTCTGCCCTTCTGTTCACCAGTGGGATAAATGCGACTTTCGCTTCTCCTTTGCAGATGTAGAAAATGGAGATATCATGCTTCCTATTCTGTCAAAGTCTTAGTGATTGAGGTGGTGCCATAATTCAGAATGATTGACCTAGGGGTCTCTACTCTCCCCGGGAAAATATACACACTCCTCTGGCAACCCAGTTTTCGATTTCCTCTCTCAGAAATCCTGGCAGGCACAACTCTTCTGCAGGTAGAGTTGTTGGCCTTGCAAATATGTCTTTCCTGCTCAGGGATCTCCTCTGGGCCTCTGATGAGTGACCAGAGGCTCTCCTACAGTGTTCCTTTTGCAGGAACCCATGCTTCACATTTGGTTGGAATCTGGGTGGGAAGGAGCTGCTGGGGAAAGTGGCAGACACATGCTGCTGGTTTGCCCTGAGGAAACTGCCTTCTCCATTCAGATCTTATTAAACTTATCATAAAAGTAGCTCCGCAATGTCACAAGATGTTTAGACATGTTCTTAGCTTTTTGCATGAGTTGAATTCTGCTGTCTGTGGTTTTTATGTCCTTGTTTTGAAAGACACATGACTTCTGAGTGACCATGAATTAACAGGAAAGCTACTATCCTGTGGGAGCAAGGATGGCTAGGCAGCGGGGCTGTGCCCTGCCGTTGTGCATCTCCGCGGCTCTGCTCGCTGCCTCAGTGAAGGCTGCAGGTTATTCTTTTGCTACCTGTGCACCTGTGAGCTTTGCTTGCCACTGAGGCAGTGAGGTCTTTCTGCATGCAGAGGAAAGGCCAACACAGTGCCACCGAAGGCTGAGTGGGGGACAGGTCTAAGTGCCAGAAAGAGGACTATTCCTGTATGGCAAGGACACTTGGCAGTTGGACCAGTGAGAAATGATGCCAGTGACGTAAGGCCACATGCCACCCAGCAAGCAGAGTGTTGGAGCTCTCCCTGTTCCTGGTCTTTCAGAACTTTGTGTCCAAGAGGCAGCATATGTCTGTAAAACTCAAATATGGAATCCACTCTGTCTGTTGGATAGAATGTGGACCTGTGCTGAAACATGTTTTAAAAGAGTCAATTCCAGGGCCCTAGCAACTTGATCTGTTCCACATTTTCTCCTCTTTGCTTTAGTTGTATGAGGAAGATGGGTGATTACTTTGTATTGACATGTTCAAAATGTTAAAATGAATTAATTTGGTTTAGATGAAAAGCTTTTATTTTATTGCTCAGTTATACTATCCTTTAAAGCCGAAAATCTCTTTTCCAGGGTGAGCTTTCGCTGCAGCTTTGCCTCAGATGGTCCAGGGCTTCCAGCTGGTTTCCTGGCAGACAGCCACACGATGGCGACAGCGTCACAGTGGAGAAGGGCCAGGGGCTGCTGCTGGACGTGAACACCAGCACCCTCAACATGCTGCACGTGAAAGGTCTGTGCACCCGAGTACCCGCTCTGGCTCTGTGCGATGCTGTGACTCGTAGGGAGAGAAGGGAGGGACACGTGTGGGATACACTCCAGTGGGGCTGACAAGTGATTTTAAGGCTGTTCTTTATACTAGGAAAAAGAAGTGGTTGAGAGGTTCAAAGCAAAAGCCATTCATTTGGAGCTTACCAGCACAGAGCTTGATTATTTTAAGTTTCAGAAAGAAAGTAAGTTAACAGCGTTCTCAAAGAACATGCTTCTTTGCTTGAGTCTTTGTAGTCATGCACATCCAGGGCTGCCTCACAATGCTGCAAAATGCCTGAAATCGGTTCATGCTGCTGGCTTTGAAATCCCCTGCCAGGAAAGCCGTGTCTTCCTGCTTTGCCCTGTTGTGGTTTTGACTTCTTGGTCTCGTGGAAAGTTGCATAAATAGGCTTCCTTATTGCAAACTAGCCGCATAGCTCTGGGGCCTCAGGAGTTGACTGAGACTGGGGAATTCAGGTTTCAGCTCTTCCACCATGTGGCCCAGCAACAAAGCCAGCTATTTCACCTCTCTGTGTGTTTGGTTCTTAATCTGTTAAACAAGACTAAAACTCGTTGCGCACCTCAGGGGCTCCTAATAAAAAACAGATATCAAGGTGCCTTTGGTCCTTGGTAGTGAATGTTTGGAAGCTGTGATTAGTTATAAATAAAGCTCTAGACTAACATGTGGTCTTTTACTATAAATATGAGGTGTCATCGAAATATATGATGATAGTTGAAATTTTAAAAATTGATTACAGTTAAAGACACACTGGCATTAAGCCCCCTTAAAATATTTGCTGCCACCTTACACACTCCTGTGTCACATGCTCAAGCGGTTCCGAAAGTAGTCTTCTGTGTCTTCATGAGGTGTGACTGAAAATTCGGTAAGCACTGTTGCCTCATGCCATCCAATAGAAAGATGGACTCCGAACGTATTACAGTGTGTCCTCATTTACCATCCTCCAGCTTCTGGCCCTCCCTCAAGTCAAAATGACCAGGAAAGATCAGTATTTTGAATCCATTCAGGCCATGGAGGCAACCCTCACAACACAACCGAAGAGGCTCACGACAGAGGACTTCTGGAGCTGCTTCAGAAAGCGGCAAGCATGATGGGATGAGTGTGCTCTATGCAAGTGGGAATATTCTGAGAGGGATTCATGGCAGTGTGTCTTTTGCTGTGACGAGGTTTTTATTTAAACATATCTCTTTTTTTGATAGTGCCTCATACAGCTAGCACAAGCGTGTGTTCTTGTCAGAGATACGGTGACAAAGCAAGATAGTTTGAAGATAATAAACTCATGTAATTTTGATACCTGTTTCTTAAAGATGGAATAAATTTTTCCTGATTTGGCATTTTGTCATTCTACATTTTAGGAAGTTATTTTTCTCTAGAAGTGAGGAGAAGTTTTTAGTAAATCAGTTAACTGGAAAAATTTTAGGAAAATTTTTGTCTGTCAGGTTGGACTATCGCCCTGCAAATCTGATGTAGCGTGTGTGTGTGTGTGTGTGTGTGTGTGTGTGCAGCTAGTGGCTATGGGAATGCTGATCTACCGACAGCTGTCACCTACATAAGGACTAGCAATGACAAAGGAAAATTGCAGACATAAAACTTCGTCTTGGAAAAAGCTTCTCGTGTCAAGTCTAACCCGGGCTCTGCTGGAGTCTAACTCTCTGCCGGGAGGTGCGGTGCCTTTGGGTGTATGGAGCTCTCAACATTTTATTGCTACAGCCATTTGGGAGGAGCTTCTCAGCTCCAGGTCTTAGACTGAGTGTTCTCCGGGTGTAATGTTGCCTCAATTACACTCAGTCAGGGAATGGGGTTGATAGAACAAGACACCAACGACAGAAGAGGCAATGGCAGGATTATCAGAGTGGAATCAGAGGGAAGGAGAAAGGCAGGCAATGTATGTGTGCAGCTCTCACCCCTGGAAGTTTTGGGAATGATTCAGATAGAGTGCTTTCAGTAATGGCTTTCCTTAATATTCCTGTTTTAGGCAAGGTTTTGTTGTCATCTGATTTGGAATAAGTGAGCTGTGTGTGGAAGGCTCAGCCCTCGTCTAGTGGAGAGGAGAGCTGGCTATCTGCAGGATCACTAGGGAGGAGGGTGTCAGGTAGGACTGTGGATGAGCACTGGGCAGAAGATGCTGCACAGACAGCCCCTCGGGGTGGTTGGGAGGCAGCAAGGTGCAGAGGCCCACTCTGAGGCTTTTGTCGTGGAGATATGGGTCATAGCTTTCAGAAATTTTGAGAACAGAAGAGGAATGACACAGTTCAGATAATGTGAGAATTCCTGTTAGGTAGCAAAGGAGCTCTGAAATACAAGAAAAAAATGAGGAATAATATTTAACGTCAGTTATATGTAAAGTTGCCGAAAGAAAAAAATTAACTCGTAAGAAAAGAAAGATGAAAGGCCGACCAAATAGCTCAGCAGATTAAAGCACCTGCAAGCAGGCACAGGGCCGGGGGCTCCATCCAGGGCCTGCTGTGCTGGCCCTGCCCCCCGGAGCACCCTGAGATGGCAATTGAGACTGGGTGTGGTGACGCGTGCCTGTAATCCCATCTCTTGGGAGGCTGTAAACAGGAAAATCACTGCGAGTCTGGTCTAGTAGTGAGACCCTGAATACCCTGTAGACCCTTCCCTAAAATAAAGAAAAAAAAAAAAAAAAAAAAAAAAAAAAAAAAAAAAAGAAAAGAAAACAAAGATGTTTGATTTCAAGTCTAAAATAGGTGGGGTAGCAGCAACGCAGAATTTGGAGTCCCCATCAAGTTGTTCCAGATGTGGGGTTAGAGTTGAATCACAGAATGGCGAGATGATCATTTGTGTCTAGGGGTGTAGTTGGAGGCATTCCCACTCCCAGTTACTGCCACTGGACGTGTCCCAGGGGCAAGCCTGTGGCATCGGGGGCGTCGTGTGTTTCTTACTTCTTCTCGCATCCTGTGACAGCTCATCAGTGGCCCCTCTTTCCTTACCCTTGTATTCTTTATTCACTCTGTTCCAATTCTGCTACAAGTATTCCTCCTCAGGACCTTTGCTTGTAGTGTCCTTTGCCTGAAATATTTGTCTTTCAGATTTACGTGGCTGACTCCCTTACTCCATTTCTCTTTGGGAAAGTCTGCACTTGCCAAAGAGGCTTCATCGTCTGCCTTTTCCAAAATTACAGCCACTCCTCATTATTGTCTTTTCTTTATTTTTCTGCACAGTTCTTATGACCACACAATAGAAATGTATTTTCTATTGTCTCCTCTACTAAAATAAGCTCATAGAGGAAAAGAATTAATCAATTTAGTCATCACTTTGTCTTTAGGGTCTAGATGGCATCTGGCCCTTGAAGAGCGAGGACTCAACGACTCTGTGTGGTTTGCTGCATCAGTGGACAAGTGACCGGTGCAGGAGTCAGCTCTCAGAAGGAACCGAGCATTTATATTCCACAAATCCTCGCTCCTTTAGTTATTGTTTTCCCAGTGAATTTACTTTCACCACCCTTTGTGGTTCTCAGTGACACATACCCCTCCACATACATGAACCCCACACACATGAGCTCCTACCACACACACATGTGCATACCTCCTATATGCACATATGCTCACACTCGGGAATCCATATACATTCATATATGTTCCCACACAATATAAAAAATACACATGACACACTTATACAACTCATCATCATGAGTTCTTAGGAACATGAAACCCATTGCTAAGTTATTGTTTGCTGTTTCTAAAAGTCTTTTGAAGAACAGTTTTGTAATGAAGATTCCCAAGTCTCAACTATGTGGTTGATGCAGTAGAGCTCTCAGTCTTTAACAACTTTTATGGCCTATATATGTGTGAAAGCCATATTGAAATATGAGATTGAATCATTATTGTCTTTATCACCAGCATCGACTTGCTCTCTGGATTTCTGTTACTGCCTGTCTTTCAAATCCATTCTTCTGATCAGAAAAATAGTGAAGCTGGATTTTCTTTATTTTTTTTGCTTCCATATACAGGTTTAGACAAAGCATGAGCAATTGCAAGTCCAAAAACATTGCTTCTAGAGACCTTACCCAATAAAATAAAAGGTATTATGGTGGAGGTTCTTTCTTGGATATTTTTGTAGTGTACAGAATGCCTTCTACAGGAAGTAGATGTACTTTGCAAAGATTAATGCTAAATTAAACTGAAACTAGGTCACCTAGGAAGTGGATTTGCAACTACTTTATATAAAGATGTTTTCTCTACATTATTTTTCTGTTTGTGTAGAGGAACAGGCTTTTAAATCAAGAGCCCTCAAGAATCTTGAACTCTTTGTGTGTGACTCACATTTTCAACTTTAAAAGAGAGTGGACATTTTTCTTAAACATCTGAGTTATATGGTTAAAGAATTGTACATTTCTTTGTGGTAGCTGGGAAATAGCACCAGAAATAAATTTTTGACCATTATTTATGATGCTAGGTATATCAATTCTTGAACTTTATTGACAAGTGCCAGACATTTTTATCAACATGTTATGATATTTAAGCTACCTTTATTACTTTTTGCTTTAATTAGAGAAAGATCCAGAACTAATCTGTTTACTGTCTTTATGTATTTTCCCTTCTCTCCCTTTAAGAAAAAAATATTTTGGGGGTACTGTTAAACACAAAAGAGAATTAATCAATTAGTCTGATAAATTAGGGTAGAGATGGGCATATTGCCTTGATTTTGATAATTATGTATTTTTCTTTTGTCTTAAGATGCCCAATAGCCATAGGCTTTCCTGAATTAAAATTTATTGTCTTTATTACAAATAATTCTAATGAGCCAGACTAGCAAAGAAGGGGTGCTACCCTCCTGTCAGAGGCTGACGTGTGGGTCTGGGCTAGAGTTTGTACTGAGGAAGTGTTTAGTTTTTTCCTAAAGGAAGCAATGAATCATTTTCTGACCTGCTGGTCAAGCAACTTGATGGGAAGCGACCTAGAGACAAAGAACAGTGGAGAGTTGGGTAGGAAGCAGCTCCACTA